GTAAAGGTTCCAACTAGATTGATTTGACAAGTTAAAGTTTGGTATTTAATGTGAGAAAGTGGTCGTTGTCTGGGAGATAGTCGCACAGGGTCGCTCAGGGAAGTAGGAGTGTATTAGGCACATTACTTTCACAAAAGCCATTTTAAGTCAACTAGGAAATAGGCTGTACTTTGAAGAACGTAAAGTTGGGGCGTTTACAATGGTGACCACTTGCTAAAAAGAAATTTGATTGTTTATTCAACTATCGAAACAGAGAATATGCTCGAAACAAGAAGACAAATATGACAACCATCGAAACTAATGTGCGGGTAAATTATAAATGTCCTTCCTAGCTGTCCTTCGTCTCTCACTCCTAAAAACTTCTACACTGGAGCAGAATAAACACCAGTGGCGTGGAAACTGTTGTTCGATGAAATGTCCCTTCAGTTGTCACGAGAGAGGCGAACGTCTCAATCTCATATTTTTATAACTATAAACACATTTATAGCTTGCTTCCATTTGGATTGACTTTAGTTCACTTTAAGTGGGACTTCAACCACTGTGTTTTTATTTGGAAATGCTAGTGACACATTGCAATGCCTGACAATAGCGCTCTCGTCTTGCGGCTGCGGTGGTGATGAATCACGGACTTCTTTCTGCGACAGCACTGTGCTGGGCAAGGTGGAGCACAGTTTGTTGCGTAGCAACTCTGATCACATGACGCCGGTGGCGACTGCGGAATGACTGCGGGTTGAGCGTAACCAGCTGGTGGTTGGTACCCCGGCTGGGGTCCCATGGGGGGATATACCGGCTGGGGTCCCATAGGGGGAAATGGCTGGGGTGCCAATGGAGGTTGTGCTCCCATACAGCAGCTAGGTAGATAGGATGGGGCACATGTGTCCGGGCACGGGCCTGCCCCTGATCCCACTGGTGGGGTAGGGGGCGGAATGAGGACGTCCGCGCAACAGGTTTCACTGCACGATGGGGCACATCCAATCGGATCTTTGCATCTGGCGGGATCACAGTATCGAGGCTGGGGACAAGGGTTGTATGCAGCTGGAGGTCCCGGGTGTGGGTGACCTCCCAGAGGACCTACAACCTTATATGGCAGTTTGGGTTGCTCTTGTGGTACTTCTATAGAGAAAAGAGAAAGGAAAAGATTAGCTTGCAGCTCTGACAACAACATGACTTTAGACGTAGTTATTGGATTTTGATTACTTTTTTACCGCCAAACAATGTCTCATCGCGAGAGATTGCACAATTGCCTATTAGAATTTGAGGTCGAAGTTGAAAATTCACGGAAGCTTAAGAACATCAAGGCTTCCGATCTTTAACCCGGTGGTAAAATAAAAAGAGCCAACACTGACATGTTTCAGTTCAAGTCGCGGTTTCTCTTCTTATGCCTATCGGTTGTTGTCAAATATGCAAGCTTAGAGAACTGAGCCAGAAGTTAAAGATAGGAAGCCTTTTAAGTAGCAAGGGAGTCATTAAGCAGCTGAGAATTCCTAAGAGACGCGTTTCAAAATGTCATAGTCGCCGCAAATTTATTCCTTCAAATCACTTATAAAATCAATCTTTTATGACCACAAACCACAAATCACGCTAAATTTGGTTTACATTTTCTTTGAAAAATTCTAAATTATCAAAAGTCAAATATCAATATGACTGTAGCATCCTTAGGACGAAGTAGAAATATGGGGTACGTTTTCTTGGCCGCAAGGAGTGGTACCCTTGTTCTATTTACAGCTGAAAGTGTTGTCTAGGAAGTTTCAAAGGTGTTAGTGGTGGAAGTTTCGTTTGCTTGCGACTTTCTTAAGGTTTCCTCTCTTGTGGTGCTTGCAACATTGGGGTGGGCAGGTCGGTCCGCATCCATCGACACAGGTCTGTCCGCACAGTACAACCGGAGGGCCAGCTGGTGGGGGAGGTGGAGGAGGAGGGGGAGGGGGTGGTGGTGGAGCTTGGCAGCAAGAGGGAAGGTTCATAGGAGCACAAACGGAGGGACAGGGAGCAGGCATGGGCATTGGCATGGGCATCGGTACGGGGCAAGCACTAGGGGGAGTGCATGGTGGCGGCACGGGTGTCATACAGCAGTTCTCCATACAGGCGGGTGCGCACACCTGAGGACATGTACCAGGGCAGATTCGGGGCTCAGGTTTGGGGGTGGGGACTATAAGAGGAGGAGGTGCTTCACCTGTCTCTGTAGGTGGAGCTGTGAAGTAAAGAAAAGAAAGGAAAATTAATTCTAGCAATAGCAAGAGAAGGATAAGTAAATTACTAGAAGGACC